GACTGGTCCCCTTGTTAAGCTATGACTGAGTATCACAATGTTGTATTATAAGACCGACTGGTCCCCTTGTCAAGCTATGACTGAGTATCACAATGTTGTATTATAAGACCGACTGGTCCGTTTATTAAGCTATGACTGAGTATCACAATGTTGTATTATAAGACCGACTGGTACCCTTGTCAAGCTATGACTGAGTGTCGCAATGTTGTATTATAAGACCGACTGGTCCCCTTGTCAAGCTATGAGTGAGTATCGCAATGTTGTATTATAAGACGGACTGGTCCCCTTGTTAAGCAATGACTGAGTACCTCAATGTTGTATTATAAGACCGACTCGTACCCTTGTCAAGCTATGACTGAGTGTCGCAATGTTGTATTATAATACCGACTGGTCCCTTTGTTAAGCTATGACTAAGTATCGCAATGTTGTATTATAAGACCGACTGGTCCCCTTGTTAAGCAATGACTGAGTATCTCAATGTTGTATTATAAGACCGACTGGTCCCCTTGTCAAGCTATGACTGAGTATCACAATGTTGTATTATAAGACTTACTGGTCCGTTTGTTAAGCTATGACTGAGTATCTCAATGTTGTATTATAAGACTGACTGGTCCCTTTGTTAAGCTATGACTAAGTATCGCAATGTTGTATTATAAGACTGACTGGTCCGTTTGTTAAGCTATGACCGAGTATCACAATGTTGTATTATAAGACCGACTGGTCCCTTTGTTAAGCTATGACTAAGTATCACAATGTTGTATTATAAGACTGACTGGTCCGCTTGTCAAGCTATGACTGAGTATCGCAATGTTGTATTATAAGACCGACTGGTCCACTTGTTAAGCAATGACTGAGTATCTCAATGTTGTATTATAAGACTTACTGGTCCGTTGGTTAAGCTATGACTGAGTATCTCAATGTTGTATTATAAGACCGACTGGTCCCTTTGTCAAGGAATGACTGAGTGTCACAATGTTGTATTATAAGACTGACTGGTCCGTTTGTCAAGCTATGACTGAGTATCCCAATGTTGTATTATAAGACTGCCTGGTCCGTTTGTCAAGCTATGACTGAGTATCTCAATATTGTATTATAAGACTGACTGGTCCCCTTGTCAAGCTATGACTAAGTATCTCAATGTTGTATTATAAGACCGACTGGTCCCCTTGTTAAGCTATGACTAAGTATCGCAATGTTGTATTATAAGACTGACTGGTCCCCTTGTCAAGCTATGACTAAGTATCTCAATGTTGTATTATAAGACCGACTGGTCCCCTTGTCAAGCTATTACTCAGTATCTCAGTGTTGTATTATAAGACCGACTGGTCCACTTGTCAAGCTATTACTGAGTATCGCTATGTTGTATTATAAGACCGACTGGTCCGTTTGTCAAGCTATGACTAAGTATCTCAATGTTGTATTATAAGGCCGACTGGTCCCCTTGTCAAGCTATCACTAAGTATCTCAATGTTGTATTATAAGGCCGACTGGTCCCCTTGTCAAGCTATTACTGAGTATCTCAGTGTTGTATTATAAGACTGACTGGTCCATTTGTCAAGCTATTACTGAGTATCGCAATGTTGTATTATAAGACCGACTGGTCCCTTTGTTAAGCTATTACTGAGTATCTCAGTGTTGTATTATAAGACTGACTGGTCCATTTGTCAAGCTATGACTGAGTATCGCAATGTTGTATTATAAGACCGACTGGTCTCTTTGTTAAGCTATTACTGAGTATCTCAGTGTTGTATTATAAGTCTGACTGGTCCCCTTGTCAAGCTATTACTGAGGATCTCAGTGTTGTATTATAAGACCGACTGGTCCATTTGTCAAGCTATTACTGAGTATCGCTATGTTGTATTATAAGACCGACTGGTCCCTTTGTTAAGCTATTACTGAGTCTCTCAGTGTTGTATTATAAGACTGACTGGTCCCCTTGTTAAGCTATGACTGAGTGTCACAATGTTGTATTATAAGACCGACTGGTCCGTTTGTCAAGCTATTACTGACTGAGCGATTTGTTTTGTTTACCAGTACAAAGATGTGACGAAATTGTATACTTCATATGTCATTCCACCCAGTACATTTCGCCTATGGATTGAGAGTGTATCCATACTGTATTGAATATGTTACTGTTAGTGTGTAGATGTAGCCTGCTCTCCTGTTAGGTAAGTATCGGGTCATACCAGGTTATACAGGTAAACAATGTAGATGTAGCCCGCTCTCCTGTTAGGTAAGTATCGGGTCATACCGGGTTATACAGGTAAACAATGTAAATGTAGCCCGCTCTCCCGTTAGGTAAGTATCGGGTCATACCGGGTTATACAGGTAAACAATGTAAATGTAGCCCGCTCTCCCGTTAGGTAAAGTATCGGGTCATACTGGGTTATACAGGTAAACAAGGTAAATGTAGCCCGCTCTCCCGTTAGGTAAGTATCGGGTCATACTGGGTTATACAGGTAAACAAAGTAGATGTAGCCCGCTCTCCCGTTAGGTAAGTATCGGGTCATACCAGGTTATACAGGTAAACAATGTAGATATAGCCCGCTCTCCCGTTAGGTAAAGTATCGGGTCATACCGGGTTATACAGGTAAACAAAGTAAATGTAGCCCGCTCTCCCGTTAGGTAAAGTATCGGGTCATACTGGGTTATACAGGTAAACAAGGTAAATGTAGCCCGCTCTCCCGTTAGGTAAGTATCGGGTCATACTGGGTTATACAGGTAAACAAAGTAGATGTAGCCCGCTCTCCCGTTAGGTAAGTATCGGGTCATACCAGGTTATACAGGTAAACAATGTAGATATAGCCCGCTCTCCCGTTAGGTAAAGTATCGGGTCATACCGGGTTATACAGGTAAACAAAGTAAATGTAGCCCGCTCTCCCGTTAGGTAAAGTATCGGGTCATACTGGGTTATACAGGTAAACAAGGTAAATGTAGCCCGCTCTCCCGTTAGGTAAGTATCGGGTCATACTGGGTTATACAGGTAAACAAAGTAGATGTAGCCCGCTCTCCCGTTAGGTAAGTATCGGGTCATACCAGGTTATACAGGTAAACAATGTAGATATAGCCCGCTCTCCCGTTAGGTAAAGTATCGGGTCATACCGGGTTATACAGGTAAACAAAGTAAATGTAGCCCGCTCTCCCGTTAGGTAAAGTATCGGGTCATACTGGGTTATACAGGTAAACAAGGTAAATGTAGCCCGCTCTCCCGTTAGGTAAGTATCAGGTCATACTGGGTTATACAGGTAAACAAAGTAGATGTAGCCCACTCTCCCGTTAGGTAAGTATCGGGTCATACCAGGTTATACAGGTAAACAATGAAGATATAGCCCGCTCTCCCGTTAGGTAAAGTATCGGGTCATACCGGGTTATACAGGTAAACAAAGTAGATGTAGCCCGCTCTCCCGTTAGGTAAAGTATCGGGTCATACTGGGTTATACAGGTAAACAATGTAGATGTAGCCCGCTCTCCCGTTAGGTAAGTATCGGGTCATACCGGGTTATACAGGTAAACAAGGTAAATGTAGCCCGCGCTCCCGTTAGGTAAGTATCGGGTCATAACGGGTTATACAGGTAAACAATGTAGATGTAGCCCGCTCTCCCGTTAGGTAAGTATCGGGTCATACCGGGTTATACAGGTAAACAATGTAGATGTAGCCCGCTCTCCCGTTAGGTAAGTATCGGGTCATACTGGGTTATACAGGTAAACAAAGTAGATGTAGCCCGCTCTCCCGTTAGTTAAGTATCGGGTCATACCAGGTTATACAGGTAAACAATGTAGACGTAGCCCGCTCTCCCGTTAGGAAAGTATCGGGTCATACCGGGTTATACAGGTAAACAATGTAGATGTAGCCCGCTCTCCCATTAGGTAAGTATCGGGTCATACCGGGTTATACAGGTAAACAAAGTAAATGTAGCCCGCTCTCCCGTTAGGTAAAGTATCGGGTCATACCGGGTTATACAGGTAAACAAGGTAAATGTAGCCCATTCTCCTGTTAGGTAAGTATCGGGTCATACTGGGTTATACAGGTAAACAGGGTAAATGTAGCCCGCTCTCCTGTTAGGTAAGTATCGGGTCATACCGGGTTATACAGGTAAACAGGGTAAATGTAGCCTGCTCTCCCGTTTGTTAAGTATCGGGTCATACTGGGTTATACAGGTAAACAATGTAGATGTAGCCCGCTCTCCCATTAGGTAAGTATCGGGTCATACCGGGTTATACAGGTAAACAAGATAACTCGCTCACTCAGCTATATCTTGACAAAGGGACCAGCAGTTTTGAAACGTTGTGACATGTTTATTACATACATTATTTGTGTATAAAGTTAAACTTTAATATAACATATTTTTAAACTGATGAATCATATTGAAGATTAGAACTTGCCTACTTTTCTATTGGTTAAAAAATAGCAGGGATCAGGAAAGTTTTATTATAATTACACTTACTTTATGTTATACAATGTACAAGAAAAAAGTATAGGCTTGGTTTAGATAAAAGTAAGAATGTTGTCTTTTATTTTGAAAGAACTATTGATTACAGGTAAGGCCATCCTTGAAAAAATGTTTTCAGTTTTCCAACAGACTCCCAAAAAACAGCTCCTACTCAAACTATTTTTGGAACTTTTAATATTTTTTTGCTAAAGAAACATTGAAAGTTAGTGTTTCTATCTAGAAATAGAAAAAAATCCACACTTACTAATCCACGGAAGAAATGGTAGTAGGGAAAGTGCAAAAAATGCTTCAAATGCCCAAGAATATTATATAGTGTTATTTTATATTATATATAAGTGTTAATTAAAAGTATTTGTTATAGAAGTAAAGATGTTCAGCCTCCTTTGTGTTCTTTTCTATAACCTCACTATTAAATTTATTTGCAGTACCGATAAATTAAACGTTGATTCCGGCCATGGCTATCATGTGACCAGAATGATTTAGCACTATAAAGTTGTACATAATGTATAAGAATTGATTGAACAAGGTCTGTTGTTTACGATTTCAGGAAGTCACATCTGATGAAAGGTTCCATGTTGAGCTTCACTTTAGTCCGGGGGCATACACCTGCGGGGAAAAGATACTCGACTTCCCCGTGGGGCGGGGCTACCATACTTTGTCGAAAAAGGAAAAGGTCAGTTGGTGAATTTGCCCATGGCCCTAGTTTTACAGAAAGTCAAGTTTAGGAAAGTGTTATTAACTCGTTCATCCCTGTAGACACATTTGAACTCTTCCAATTCAAAGGTTGGAATAGTTTACTCTGAAATTTTAGGGGTGAATGAGTTAAAGTTAGGAAAAAATGTTAAGGTCTTGATAGGAAAGTATTATTTAGGTGACGAAAAAATCTGCCTTGTGATTGGTTGTAAGTTTCAATTGTTTCAATTGTGACGTCACACCTAGGACAAGTACATGATGTCACAAACTTACGCACTGGAGTCAAAATGGCGGCTTTTTACATTTCAAGGTTGCTTGAAAATTGTCGTTTTACACGAATAATGCCACAAATGTTGATTATGTGATAAAATGGATCTTACACCCGTCTTCATTTCATATGAAATTTATGAAACTCATCACAAATTTTTCATTTTAGCTCGCCAGAGGCTCAGTAAATTGAAAAATTCATAAATTTCATATGAAATGGAAACTCGTTAGATTGTATATTTATTATTTCAGCGTTTAAGTGGTGGAGACGATACTAGTTTGACTGACAAAAAGCTGGGTGGGGACACCTCTAAGTTGACCCCGGGGGATGACTTACAGACAAGGGCCTACTCAGACCATCCCCGCTCTGCACCAATGGTCATCCAAGAAACCTTAGAGGAGTTACAGGAGGCTGACATATTTGATCACCATAGCAACACTGAACCGCCAAAATCTCCGAAGGTATACATCACATGATTTAGCGATACTATAGAGCCAAGTAATTTGATGTCTTAGATCATAACAGTTAATTAAGTAAACAAACGTTAACGGTTAATTAAGTAAGCAAACATGTTGAAATCCTTTCTTGGGAAAATTCAATCGGTCTGATGCGAAGTTATTACTGCTCTAGATGTTAATTTAAATTTGGTAATGATGTTCAATAATCATACTGGCCAACTGTCCCTATTTAGGAGGGAGACTTCCGATTGTGGACCCTTAAATTTAATATTTTCAACCTGCGAGTTTGCATAATCATTCCTATTCAAGATATAACAACTTCATCTGAAAGAACAACTCCAAATATCTCTAGGGGGTGTATACACTCATGTTATTTACAGGTAGGTTTTAATTTTGAGCATGCAGAATCTCCCCAATGGAAATTTTAAAATGTTGTCAAGTATAGATAATAGTGAACTTATCTTAAATAATAATACTCTACTGAACAGATCAGAATAGCTTCATTCTTGGGACTTTCTAGGAGATTTTTTATTTGCGCAACTTATGAGATGCAATGTGTATTGCGGATTTGCGATTGTAATATATATAATAAAATAATATATGATATATTACTTGCCTAAATATGAATCTACTACATGTAGTACAAATACGAGTATTAGTCATTTATTGAGCAAATTACAATCACAATTTAATATGTCATGTGACCCTTTGGTTTCCCTTTATACTAGGCTCTAGAACCAGGGTCTCCTGACCCGAGTGTCCCAGAGTGGGATTGGGGTGACGACGAACAGAAGACTAAAGTATCCATCACAGAGGAGACAGATACTATGTCACCCACAGAAACGGTAATGTTTGTTAGATAAGTCACCCACGGAAACGGTAATGTTAGTTAGATAAGTCACCCACGGAAATGGTAATGTTTGTTAGATAAGTCACCCACGGAAACGGTAATGTTTGTTAGATATGTCACCGACGGAAACGGTAATGTTTGTTAGATAAGTCACCCTTGGAAATGGTAATGTTTGTAAGATAAGTCACCGACGGAAACGTTAATGTTTGTTAGATGAGTCACCGACAGAAACGGTAATGTTTGTTAGATAAGTCACCGACAGAAATGGTAATGTTTGTTTAGATAAGTCACCGACGGAAACGGTAATGTTTGTTAGATATGTCACCGACGGAAACGGCAATGTTTGTTAGATATGTCACCGACGGAAACGGAAATGTTTGTTAGATAAGGCACCCACGGAAACGGTACTGTTTGTTAGATAAGTCGCCGACAGAAACGGTAATGTTTGTTTAGATACGTCACCGACGGAAACGGAAATGTTTGTTAGATAAGCCACCGACAGAAATGGTAATGTTTGTAAGATAAGTCACCGACGGGAACGGTAATGTTTGTTAGACAAGTCACCGACAGAAACCGTAATGTTTGTTAGATACGTCACCGACGGAAACGGTCATGTTTGTAAGACAGGTCACCGACGGAAACGGAAATGTTTGTTAGATAAGCCACCGACAGAAATGGTAATTTTTTTTTAGATAAGTCACCGACGGGAACGGTAATGTTTGTTAGATATGTCACCGACGGAAACGGAAATGTTTGTTAGATAAGACACCCGCGGAACCGGTAATGTTTGTAAGACAGGTCACCGACGGAAACGGAAATGTTTGTTAGATAAGCCACCGACAGAAATGGTAATTTTTTTTTAGATAAGTCACCCACGGTAACGGTAATGTTTGTTAGACAAGTCACCGACAGAAACCGTAATGTTTGTTAGATATGTCACCGACGGAAACGGGAATGTTTGTTAGATAAGGCACCGAAAGAAATGGTAATGTTTGTAAGATAAGTCACCGACGGAAGCGGTAATCTTTGTTAGATAAGTCACCGACGGAAACGGTAATGTTTGTTTAGATAAGTCACCGACAGAAATGGTAATGTTTGTTTAGATAAGTCACCGACAGAAACGGTTATGTTTGTTAGATAAGTCACCGACAGAAACGGTAATGTTTGTTAGATAAGTCGCCGACGGAAACGGTAATGTTTGTTAGATAAGTCACCCATGGAAACGGTAATGTTTGTTAGATAAGTCACCCACGGAAACGATAATGTTTGTTAGATAAGTCACCCACGGAAACAGTAATGTTTGTTAGATAAGTCACCGAGGGAACCGTAATGTTTGTTAGATATGTCATGTGACCCTTTGGTTTCCCTTTACACTAGGTTCGAGAACCAGGGTCTCCTGACCAGAGTGTCCCGGAGTGGGATTGGGGTGACGATGAACAGAAGACTAAAGTATCCATCACAGAGGAGACAGATACTATGTCACCCACGGAAACGGTATTGTTTGTTAGATATGTCACCCACGGAAACGGTAATGTTTGTTAGATAAGTCGCCCACAGAACCGTAATGTTTGTTAGATAAGTCACCCACGGAACGGTAATGTTTGTTAGATAAGTCACCCACGGAAACGGTAATGTTTGTTAGATAAGTCGCCCACAGAACCGTAATGTTTGTTAGATAAGTCGCCCACAGAACCGTAATGTTTGTTAGATAAGTCACCCACAGAACCGTAATGTTTGTTAGATAAGTCACCCACGGAAGCGTAATGTTTGTTAGATAAGTCGCCCACAAAACCGTAATGTTTGTTAGATAAGTCGCCCACAGAACCGTAATGTTTGTTAGATAAGTCGCCCACAGAACCGTAATGTTTGTTAGATAAGTCACCCACGGAACCGTAATGTTTGTTAGATAAGTCACCCACAGAACCGTAATGTTTGTTAGATAAGTCACCCACGGAACCGTAATGTTTGTTTAGATAAGTCAGCCATGGAACCGTAATGTTTGTTTAGATAAGTCAGCCACGGAAAATGAAAATATTTGTTTAGATAATTAGTCACCCATTGAAACGGAAAATGTTTGTTTGGATAAAAAGTCACCCAGGGAAACCGTAGTGTTTTTAGCTTACCTGGCCCGAAGCTCACCTTTAAACAACTTCTCCTCAGTAACTAAGAGATTGATATCAACCATATTTGACAGGAAGCATCCCTAGGTGGTGGAGATTCAAAATTGTACAAATAGTTGGGCTGACCCCCCAGGGGGCTGAGGGGCTGGGCCAAAAGGGGTCAATTTGGCTATATTGCCACAAACGACTTCTGTAGAACTGTGCACTGGATATCAATTATATTTAATCAAAAGCATTCTTGGGAGGCAGGGATTCAAAATTGAACAAGTGGTGGGGCTGAACCCCCAGGGGGCTGAGGGGCGGGGGCCAAAAAGGGTATTTGGCTACATTGCTTTAAGCAACTTCTTCTCTGGAACTAGGAAGTGGATATCAACCATATTTGACTGGAAGCATCCCTAGGTGGTGGTGATTCAAAATTGTACAAATGGTGGGGCTGACACCCCAGGGGGCTTAGGGGCGAGGCCAAAAAGAGTCAATTAGGCTATATTACTTTAAGCGACTTCTTCTTTGGAACTAAGAATTGAATATTAATCATATTTGATTAAAAGCATTCATGGGAGGCAGGAATTCAAAATTGAACAAATGTTGTGGCTGACCCCCGAGGGGGGTTTGGTTATGTTGCTTTAAGCGACTTCTTCTCTAGAACTAAGAGATGGATATCAGCCATATTTGACTGGAAGCATCCCTAGGTGGTGGGGATTCAAAATTGTACAAATGGTGGGTCTGAGGACAGGGCCAAAAGGGGGCAATTTGGCTATATTGCTATAAACAAATTCTTCTGTAGAACCATGCCATGGATATTTATCATATTTGATCGGAAACATTCATGGGAGGCAGGGATTCAAAATTGTACAAATGGTGGGGCTGACCCCCCGGGCTAAAGGGTGGGGCCAAAAAAATTGTATTACTTGGAAATGATTGAGATCTCCACCATATAACCATGGTATACAATTGCTGAGTATAAAGAGAAGAATGCACATTTGCTTCCAGGATGGCCCTAGGGTCTTGCCCCACCCTTGGAGACATAGTTCCTGGGCTATAACTTTAAAACTGTTGAGATCCCCACCCCGAAACTATATATACAAATGCTGGGCATAAAGAGACGAATGCAGTCATGATATCAGAATAGACCCTGGGATCTGACCGAACCCCTAGGGACCTAGTTTCTTAATCACAGCTTGGAAACAGTTGAGAGACCCACCCTATAACCGTATATACAATTGCTGGGTATTAAAAGATGATTGCACATATGCTTCCAGGATGGCCTTGGAGACTGCCCCACCCTTGGAGACTTAACCCCTGGGTCATAACTTTGAAATGGTTAAGATCCCCACCCCAAAACTATATATACAATTATTGGGCGTAAAGAGACGAATGCAGTCATGATATTAGAACTGACCCCAGGGTATGGCCCACCCTTGCAGACTTAACCCCTGGACCATAACTTTGAAACGGTTGAGATCCCCACCCCAAAACTATATATTCAAATTCTGGGCAAAAAGAGACAAATGCAGTCATAATATTAGAATTGATCCTGGGGTCTGGCCACAACCCTAGGGGCCTAGTTTCTGAGTCAAAGCTTGGAAACAGTTGAGATCCCCACCCCATAACCATACATAAATTGCTGGGCATGAAAAATCTAATACAGATATGCTACATGCATATTCCCTTGATCTCATTTGTGACAGCACAGTAATTATGTAAGAAATACAAATCTTTAGTTATGCAATTCTTATGCAATAACATTTGCCATTGTGGCGATAACATTTGACATATCGAGGTTTGATTAATGATCAAGATTCCCTTTTCAGAATTCCTACATGAAACTGGGTACATGTAATTGTTTATTAAAGGAAAATGAAGAGCAAAGAAGGTAAAAGATAATCTTTCGTAGATTTGATAAAGATCCTTTCATTGTGAGTGCGATGAATCCTTCAAAGATCTTGTGTTTGTATTTTTGCAGGCCGAGAGTGATAAAGACGCCACCAATAAAGATGGAACAGGTGCAGCAACACCTGTCGGTACTTCTCAACCAATAGAAATACAGGCCCCAAAGGTCAAAGGTCAGTATTTTATCAGGAAGTATTTTTGGTCGCAACTCATTCACCCTTAAGGACACATTTGAACTCCAACAATTCAAAGGTTGGAATAGTTCATTATGAAATTTCAGGGGTGAATGAGTAAAACTTTTTTTTATATTAATCTACCTTTATAAGAATATACAAGAAGCATAATTTATGTATACCTAAAACCACAAAAGGGCTATATTTTGTTGTCAGAGATATTTCATTTAATAAAATTCACTTGGTCCTGTCAGATACATAAAGTTAATTAGAATAAAATTATACATAGGACTTAACAAATTAGAATATGAATAAGAATTTTGATAAATACATCAGGTACTAAACATTGACAAGGTTTGATGATAATCATGATTTTAGAACGTGATCAGGTTGATTAAAAAAGATTGGTTATGATGGGCAGGTACTTTTTGGGTGAAAAAATATTGAGATTTGTTTGGGGGAAAAATGTCAAGCTGGACTGACAGGTACCTAGTTCAATATTGAAGATTACCTAAATAAACTCGGGTATTTAATAAGGTTAGGGAAACTATCGCACAAAGCCTAATCCTTGATTAGGCCTAATTAAGTGTCAACACTTTGAGTACGAGGAGATCTGGTAGTCTTTAAATTGTAATACTCTGCATGATTGTTAAAAATTCCCTTGCATCACTAATGATGATTTCTGTAGAAATTTTGGTTCAGCATTGTCAACAGATTTGATCTAGACCCAGTGCTTTCTGCATTAGATATGTTACTAACACTCTTTCATGGGGAAGGAAAAATACTGAAACATGTCCACTAATGTCATGATAGTTCAGGTAATGTAGTGGATAGCACACTTGCCTTTCACCAAAATGGCCGAGGTTCGACTCCGCGATCGAATGTGAAATGATATAGGGTCACCTGCCCGACCACATGAGTGTGACATGTGGGTACTCCAGTTTCCTCCCCCGCACGCTAATATCCGGGCCAACAATAAACTAATAGAACTTTTTTCACAATTGTTGTAAAATATTTTTTTTTTTTTTTTTTTAAATTCATGGTTTTGAAATAACAGCATATTAGGGAGGGAGTTGTGTTTGCAGAGAATCAATGTCTGTTTTTCTATAATTTGTTCAAAATATTGTTTTGTAAAATCTATTATTATGATATTTATGAGGAATAAAGTTACAGTCCATGATATTTTTGTTACTTAAATTTCAATTTTTTGTTACACAATTCTTATAGTAGTTTCTTTTTAGCCACCATCATCTGATGGAGGGCTATTCAAATCACCCTGCGTCCGTGGTCCATTGTCTGTCCTTAAACAATTCTTGTTATCCGTATTTCTCAAGAAGCACCAAAGGGATCTTTCTCAAATTTTATATGTAGGTTCCCCTTGGTCCTTAGCTGTGCAGGGCAACTTTTTAGACTGATCGGATAAACAACATGGCCAACAGGCAGCCATCTTGGATTTTGATAGTGAATGTTTGTTATCGCTTTTTCTCGGGAAGTACCAGAGGGATCTTTCTCAAATGTTATATGTAGGTTCCCCTTGTTCCTTTGTTGTGCAGCAGTGCAGCAGTGCCTGAAATGGACGGTCACCTGCTCGCCAATGGCGGTTAAAGTCTTGTTCGAGGGACCAAAAGTTGTCAAAAGTGAGGTCACTGGCCCAACAAAAATAGTTTGGGCGACTGTCAAAAAATTAATGAATAAAAGAAAAGATAGTCCCTTCCACACTAACTGGGAGGCAGTACATTTTTCAGTTGTCATTACTTCGATTTTAATCAAACTGTCCCTGATTTAGAAAATGTGTTGATTTTAATTTTCATATTTTCTATATAAATACTGCCAGGGTGTCTTCTTTGAGGTGCAAGCTTTGTGTATTTCTTTTTGGGAAGACCTGAATGGAGTGGATCATGTCAGGTTTTAACTAGGGTTGAAGAATTAAAAATATAATGTTTTATTGTTTTACATATTACAAACATTGTCATGTTATATATGTTATTTAAATGTGCTGAAGCATTGTGCTAAATGCTGTGGAAATATTTCTTCCCAAAATTATTTGCCAGTGCTTCAAATTTTTTATTCGTCCAAAAAAAATTTTGGGGCCATCCAATGCAGGTTCCCTACTATCCTTTATTGTTCTTGTTTACTTTTGAAACTGATCAGATAAACAAAATGGCCCACCGACAGCCATCTTTGATTTTTGACATTGAAGGTTTGTTAGTACTATTTCTCAAGAATAACTTCAGGGATCTTTCTCAAATTTAATATGTAGATTCCCCATGATCCCTCGTTGTGCATGTTATATTTTGAGACTGATCATAAAAACAAAATGGCTAAAGGAAGAACTAAACAGATCTTTCTCATATTGCAATGATCAATTCTATTTCTTTCACATTCAGTACTGTACTAGTAAATATGTGAAATGACAAACTCACTTTGAAGGTTGGCTTTCATACACATCAGTATTAACTTTAGATCAAAAGTTACCTCAAGGTGCATTTGCTGTTAACATGATTCGATCAAACAGATAAGAGGAAAGAAGAGAAAAGATCGAACTGACAAAGAACTAATGAAGGTGGTACAATGGTGGGCACCAAGATCCCTATGGGATCTCTTGTTTCTTAATAATATATATTTTTTTAATTCTACTGATTTTCGTTTTCCTGAAGTTGTTTGGTACATAATTTATCGGTTTTTCAAGACTTTGAAAATCTGTAAATTATCTTCTGTGTTAGGGGGGATGTCTTGCTCAGTTTTAATACACCTGGCAAAAATTGCATCTGAGCTGCTTATGACATGGTGCAGTATCCGACCTCCATGTTGTTAGCCCTTTTTCTTTAAATGACTTCTTCTGAAGAACCATAAGGTCAACAGTGTATATGTTTGCATGAAGCTTGCTGGGGTGAAGGGCGGTTAATTTTTAGCTTACTTTGCCCGAAGCTGCGGTGTCTGTCGTCCGTCCGTCTTGTCAACATTTTCTTTTGAATGACTTCTTCTGAAGAAGAACTGGAGGACCCAGGGTCATGCTATTTGACCAGTAGGTACCTAGGAATGATTGCTATAAAGTTTCCTCATTAAAATGACCTTGACCTAATTTCAAGGTCACAGGGGTCAAATATGTTAAAAACTTCAAACAACAATATCTTAAGAACCATTTACTAGAAAAATGTCAGGTGGTTGGGGCGCGAAGTGAATAGTGCATTTGCCTTTTACCAAGAGGGCCCTGGTTTCATTCCCTGACCAGACCCTAAAAGGTATACAGTCATGGAAAGATGCTGGACCATGATCTCTGGGTGATCTGTTTTCCCAAAAAAAGAACCCTAGCATTCCCCTGTGAGAATAGGAGGGATTATAATTAAGTTTTCATCTGTAATCTATTCCATAAAAGAATCGGTAAAGTATTGTATAGTTCATGTTATTTAACAACTAATAACGTAGATATTTTTTTTTAATAATTTTATTTGATCTGTCACCTGCAGGGATGAAAGTTCTGTGACATAAATGATAAATTTCCACTATGACCTTTATAGTATTTTGATTGTTTGATGATAGCTGTTCAGCTTTAAATTTAATTTTCCATCATCATCAAATTACTGGTGAGCAATACAGGCTAAGTGGGCCTCTTGTTTATAATATAATTGACCATCCGAGAACAGTTATAAGTAAGGCATTGAAATGTTGAACTATGTTTTTTCTTCGTTGGAAAAGCTTACTCAAGGGAGATTATTCTGCCAATTTTGGCTTTTAAGCCAGGTAAGACTGCACATTGCACTGATGATACGTGTTTGTAACAGTAAGTTTATATAACAAACACACACTGCATGTAATAAAAGGGTTCGTACAGAGTTTGGAAAGTGATTAAATTTCGTCAATCCCAAAAAATACGTTTACTACCAGGTTATTTTGGCTGGAAAAGTGTTTGAATTTTTAAGGCTCAAACAGTGTAAATTATTATTTGGTTATTTTTGCTATTAACCCTTTCACCCCTATGCAACTTTAGTAGACTCTACCATGCTTTGATCTGGATGAGTACATTATGGTCGGCAGTGGTGAAAGGGTTAAGTGCTTGTATCTTTGTACCAAATTTCTGTACTGACCCTGATCATCATTGGCTGTACTACTGTAAACGTGGTTATTTACGCTGGGTGAAAATTACGCGATTTGAAGGTCAAAACTATACGCGCAGGAGCAATTTACGCGGTCGCGGTCGACCGGCGTTTACTCTGCGTAGTTATCTCCCTTACTTAACGAAATGTGTACAGGTAAAAATACTAATGTATGTGTGTGTATTATACCAGCTGATCTCGTAATCAAGCACGTTTTCCAAATAACAATGAACCTCAATGCACTCGGTATATTTATGACTTTCTCTGTGTCTTTAAATAGATTTACAAATTTGTTGTTCATTAAAAAAACCTTCAATTCATCAAGTAGTTTATTTCAGTTGTTATTGTTTTTATTTTATACCATTACAAGACAATGTACGTTAATTAGTAATACGTTAACAAAGCAATAGTACAGGAGGACATCACACACACACACGTACCAATAGCTATCAGAGTTGTCTTTCCTTACACTATCGACTAAACCATACGCGCGGGGGAAATTTACGATCCAACTACGCGTAATAAGCGTAAGTTTCCCCCCGCGTGTAATATTCCACGTTTACAGTATATAGTATAACTATTGTACTGCTTTTAGATTACCTGATAACGATACAAACATTGTGCACTTGGGCTTTCAAAGTTACTGCTGCAATGCAGTGGGCTGTGAGGCAATTTTTATACGAAAATGTATCACGAAAATGTATCAAATTGATCAAATTCAACAAGTAAACATGTGTCTGATATAATTAGTAGATAAATTGTGCTTGGTCTTGTGTGACATTTTAGGATATTGACTAGATAAAGTTTAGTCCTTTAAGTTGGCGTTGTTTAATATCTCACCAGGGTGCAGTTGTTCAAGGACTGACTAGTTTAATGATAGTTAAACACAATTTTTTATCTTATTTTCAAAAAAATTGAACTGAAGAGATTATTTCTGCCTGTATATGATTCAAAACAATCATGCAAAGACAAAAGATAAAAAAGTTTTTAAAAAGAAAGAAGTTTGAAAATTTGCGTTAACAATGTTTGAAGCTTATCAGATACAAACACAGTGTTCCTGGAGTTAAAATACAATAGAACTGATATCTTTGATCATTAATAAATTCTATCCCTTTCTAAAGGATATAAATTTGTCAATTTCTCAATTGACATATTGTGTATTGGGAATTGTGTATTGAGATATCATTGCAAAAATAATGGTGTTTGTTAAGTCTTTAAGGTGCAACTAAGTAAAACAGGACAACTACTGGCCTGATTTAGAATGTCTCAATTTAATCCACTTTTACCACTACAAGTGGAAAATCCATGTATTTTATATCTTGAAAAAGAAATTTAATTCGAAGATTAAAATGTATGATTAATTTGGTAACCCTGTACCTACATGTTGTTGTTTTAAACGCATGATTAGCTCAGTGTTGTGATCTTAAAATACCGTAAAATCATAAATATTTGTGGGACATTAAATTTCGTTTATTTCATGGATAACAAAAATCCACGAAATTAAATTCCCATGAAAACATAAATTTGGTATGATATAGATAAGGGAAAATCAGAAATCAGCAAAATATAATGTCCTTGAAACAGGCTAGTATATGAAAACCACGTAATTTTAACCCCACCAAAATAAATGATTCTACAGTAAGTATATAGGCCTTTGGTGTTTGCTTTTGTTCTCATTAGCTTAAAGATAATATTTATAATATTTATAAAATACATAATTCCCATCATAGTACTACACGTAGCAGCTCAGCATGTTATCTGTGCTAAATTTATGGTTTTTACTTTTATTTTAAACTTTGTATTGAATTTTTAGGTCACCTGAGACAAAGTCTCAAGTGACCTATATTGCGATCGCCTTTTGTCCGTCGTCGTACGTCGTCCGTCCGTAAACAATTTACATTTTCGACTTCTTCTCCAAAACCCCTGAACCAATTTCAATGAAATTTTGCAGGGACCTTCCATGGCCAAAGGTCAACAAAAATAGTGGCCGGTTTAGTCCCAAGCCCCCAGGGGCCTGAGGGGCGGGGCCAAAAAGGGTCAAATTGACTAAAATTTCAAAAAAATTCTTCTCAAGACCCAGATATGGTAGAATCAAATACTCTTCATATATGGAAGGGTCTTAAGGTGCTTAATCAAAATTGTGAATTTCTTGACCCTGGGGTCTCACGTTTCCCCTCTGGGGAGGGGGTAAACTTTACTATAGTTTATATAGGGAAATCACATTTTGGACCAACATTTGTTTAATTTCCATTGGAAGTAATTCAATTTGGGTTAGCATTATCAGTATTAGGTAGCAGTTTGATAGTAAGCACATATCAGCCCTGACTGACCCCCAGGGGCTGATGGGTGGGGCCAAAAAGGGTTGAATTGACTGAAATTTCAAAAATCTTCTTCTCAAGACCCAGATATGGTAGAATCAAATGCTCTTCATAGATGGAAGGGTCTTATGGTGCTTTACCGAAATTATGAATTTCATGACCCTGGGGTCTCATGTTTCCCCTGGGGAGGGGGTAAACTTTACTATAGTTTATATAGGGAAATCACATTTTGGACCAACATTTGTTTAATTAATAATATAATGAGAATGACAACACAATTTTACAATGGAGTACATCAATGCGAGAGAAGAATGTTTCAATTTGACCATATATTTGTTGAACTCAGATTCTGCATTGAAGAGCAAAGATATACTTGTGTTTGATTATATTATGCTGATATGTCTATTACAACTGCAGTACCAATACATACCTATTGCAAAAAAGACCCTTTGTTATCTTATACACATAACATATTACTAATTGGGTCATCATTAATCCAATGTGCATGTTGAGCAAAGATAAAACCTGAGAACCCTTAATCTGAAAGTAGACATCTACTTTACCACTAGACTTCTACTTTACCACTAGACATTTACTTTACCACTAGACATTTACTTTACAACTAGACACTTACTTTACCACTGGATTTCTACTTTACAACTAGACACTTACTTTACCACGAGACATTTACTTTACCACTAGACACTTACTTTACCACTAGATTTCTACTTTACCACTAGACACTTACTTTACCATGAGACATTTACTTTACCACTAGACATTTACTTTACCACTAGACATCTACTTTACCACTATATATTCACTTTACCATGAGACATTTACTTTACTACTTTACATCTACTTTACCACTATACATCTACTTTTCCACTAGACTTCTACTTTACCACTAGACATCTACTTTAACACTAGACATTTACTTTACCACTATACATCTACTTTACCACTATACATCTACTTTACCACTAGACACTTACTTTACCATGATACATTTACTTTATCACTAGACACTGACTTTACCACTAGATTTTTACTTTACCACTAGACACTTACTTTACCATGAGACACTTACTTTACCATGATACATTTACTTTACCACTAGACATTTACTTTACCACTAGACATTTATTTTACCACTAGACATCTACTTTACCACTAGATTTCTACTTCACCACTAGACACTTACTTACCACGAGACATTTACTTTACCACTAGACATCTACTTTACCACTAGACATTTACTTTACCACTAAACATTTACTTTACAACTAAACACTTACTTTACCACTAAACATTTACTTTACAACTAGACACTTACTTTACCACTTGATTTCTACTTTACAACTAGACACTTACTTTACCACTAGATTTCTACTTTACAACTAGACACTTACTTTACCACTAGACATTTACTTTACCACGAGACATTTACTTTACCACTAAACATTTACTTTACAACTAGACACTTACTTTACCACTAGATTTCTACTTTACAACTAGACACTTACTTTACCACGAGACATTTACTTTACCACTATACATTTACTTTACCACTAAACATTTACTTTACCACTAGACATTTACTTTACAACTAGACACTTACTTTACCACTAGATTTCTACTTTACAACTAGACACTTACTTTACCATGAGACATTTACTTCACCACTAGACACTTACTTTACCACGAGACATTTACTTTACCACTATACATTTACTTTACCACTAAACATTTACTTTACCACTAGACATGTACTTTACCACTAGACACTTACTTTACCACTAGACATCTACTTTACCACTATATATTTACTTTACCACTAGACATCTACTTTACCACTAGACATCTACTTTACCACAAACAACCTATTAATAGCTATGGTCATTCAAGGACGTGCCAGGTTTTGGTGGTGGAGGAAAACAAAACAAAATAACCCACTAACCTGCGCCCTGGTGACTGCCCCATGTAGGCCTCTAACCTGTGACCTAGTGGTGAAGGCCTAGTGGTTGTAATAAGAATATTTTATTGAAATCTGTCAGGGAACCTATTGATTTCAAGTCAATTTTGTGTGGGGAAGGGTTTCGAAAGGTATTAAATGTTCAATCCAAGAACAAAAGAAATCAAACCTGTTTTTTCCTGTTGCTTTGGTGGTCCTTCACTTGGCTTTTCTTTGTTGCTTTGGTGGTCCTTCACTTGGCTTTTCTCTGTTGCTTTGGTAGTCCTTCACTTGGCTTTTCTCTGTTGCTTTGGTGGTCCTTCACTTGGCTTTTCTCGGCAGCTTACACGTTAAAGGAAGCGCTGTCATTCACAATTCAAAGTGCTTGATATTGCCTAATGTTCTCTTCCATCAAAGATTGGAGATACAATTGTATTTGCACAATAATTTGTTGTTTAACAGAACCACATCGTACACAGGGCATTCTAGCCAGAGTTGTGTGCTTACCTTGCTAAAGGTTAAAGGTTGTCTGTGTTTTGTTACTTATTACTTCACAATGACCTTCACTGACCTTGTCACCCACTAAAACAAGGTACCAGTGACCTGTATTTTCTAATCCACTCAACAATCAATAGAAACAGCGTTTTCTGGCTGTAATTTCTGTAAAGGTACATCTTTTAATGATGTTTATTTTGCTCCAAAGTTTTTTTTAACCAAGACACATATTTTCACTTTACTGAAAAAGAAAGGAAACAGATTCTTAGGCCATAATTTCCTTGTATCTTTAATGAAGGGCTACCAGAATTAATATGTTCTAAAATGTATGGCTGAAGGTGTTTTAGCACTATAGCTAGTCAGATCTAGGTGATCTGTGTTAGACTTGATAAGAAAACACTAAAATATCTGTACATATCTTGTTTTCTCATAAACAAATGACAGAGAAATACCAAGTAGGAACTGGGGTATATGTTATGTTATGTTCAGGGTTTCATCTAGTTGTTGTGATTTTTTGCTTACCTCAATCTGCTTCAGATTTCCGTAGATTTAAAATGTTTGTTGGCTAAATTCACAAGTTTGTTATTCTTCCTGATTCTACAGACATTTATATTTATGACTTTTTTGGGAAACAAAAAAGTTGCCAACGAACTTTAAACCATTTTCATGATGAATCTCAAGTTTTGTACTCAATGTCTTAATTAATTGTAACTTGACAAGAAACTCTTATTGAAATAACTAAATTAAAAAGAAACTTAACATGGAAAGGATATTTGGGTACAAGTCTCTAAAAATGCCTACAAAATCAGTTGAATTAAAAGTTATACCCATTCAACTAGAAAACAAGCTCAGAATCTTGCACACAATGTGTAGGCTTGTCAGTGACACTAAATCTACATTAAATATCTTTATAACTTAGTGTCTACAGTCACATCTTTAAATTCATCATGAAATATTGACAAATTCCTAATCAAGTTTTGTAGATTTATAATTTTACTTTGTTTCTGTTACAGAGCCTATGCGTTCCCAAAGTTTTGAGGAGAAGCGAAGTCGTAGTCTGGAGGACAAACATCCGGAAGTTAAGGAACACAGTGGTTAGTATATATGAATTACCTCCCTTATAAATATTTTATAAAAGAGTGATCTCCCTTTATTTTTCCAACATATTTTTGGTACTACTTCTAGATATTCCAGAATTAATTTTGGGTCATGTTTCCATGCTAGAAATTAGTTAATGAACTTTTGTAAACCTATAATTCTCAAATAATCTTGTTGCCTTTTCTTGTTTTATTTCTTGTGTTTTTTCCGCAGTAATGGCATAGTTCTAATCTTTAAAAAGAAAAATTGAAACTGTTTGATAAAATTGAAAGTCAGTAGAATTAGTTTCTGGCTAAAATGTCAGCAATCCGTTTATTTTGAAAAAACAAACAGTTGATTCTTTTTGTTAAAAATTGTGTCTGTTGATGATTTATTTTAACTATTGAAATTGCCTTGTATTAGTTAACAAGGATTTAACAACTGTACGTGGCATGCTTGTTAAGTGGTGCACTGTTACGAACCACCACAACTGTCTTCATGAAAAAGCATGTATTACTATAACCAAAAAGTTGTTTTTTTGAAATGTGATTGTGTTTTTTTTTAACAACCTTACTTTTTTGCGTCTCTCCTATTTGATTTTCTCTCCTAAGTTTTAAACAATTAATCTCTGTTTAAATCTAAAATGCTCCATCTCCATCCATATTAATCTAAGCCTTTAAATGTAAATTTAATGCACCATTCGGAATGTTAAAATATTATTCAATACAGTAATTCAAGTTCAATTGCAACATCCAAAGTTCTGATGTAGAAATAAAAATCTTACCTGTCCCAATTTTTTTATTTATTTTTGTTAATTCTTTCAACATGGCACCATTTTTGACACTTTGCAATGTATTGAAGTAAACAACAGTACAATTACAATCGCACTTTGATATTAAGTTGTTATGTTTTCAGTTTCTATGTCACTTGTTTAATTGATATTCTAGATCTAGTATTTCCTTCTGTGTGTTAGATCACCTAGGTAACCACAGCTACGATGAGATGGCTTGCATCATGTACCCCAGTGAGTTTGATTTGATGTATTAACTCATCACCCCTGAAATTTCATAATGAACTATACCGACCTTTGAATTGGATGAGTTCAAATGTGTCTTCAGGGGTGAATGAGTTAAATCTAGTACTACCGTTCTTTGCTGTTAGAAATTTTGCTTTGTATGTAACTAACACATATCTACAGTTGAAACTTGTGATTCAGCAGGTAACAGTTTAAGAAAACTTGTATTTAAAAACATTTAAACAGCAAAGATTTTTTTTTGTTATTCTGGCTTAAGGATCATGTCTTAGATTTAAATCTTATTTTCAGCGATTGCCCAAATTTCTTCCAAATTTAAATCCTAATTTCAATTGTTGTCAAAGTAACTGCTTTATTTGGACTTAGGGATATATGCTATACTTTTAAAATGATTTTTTGTAGAGTTTATCTCCCTTTAAAGAAATTACCGTATTCATCCTTTAATAAACCCACAAGGCTAACAATTTTTTGGCATTTCTTCCTAATTGCAATATATATTTGTAGGCTTGATACCAATCATAGGATTATTGCTGGATAAATACGGTAATTATTATTATCTAATACATTTACCCCCATTTAGTATATTTATAGGTTTCTTCTATAACTAACATTGGTGTCTTCCTTAAAGTAGATGCATGTTATTACTGTAGAATTTCCTGTGTCCTTAAGGGTCCTTATACCACTGTCATAAACTGTTTTTCTTAAGGATTCCTGTACCACTACCGATGCTGAATCTAGCGAAATTAAACCCCCGCGAAATATAACCGCTAAACGGTAACATATGGATACACAGGTTTCACTGTAGAGTTATTGTGAGCTTCTTTCTCCTCCACCGCGAAGCATGATAAAAGATATTTATATATCTGTCTAGTTGTCTGCCTTGTTTATTTTCTTTTTTTTAATGCACAGCACTGTTATTTTGTTTTGTTTATGTATTTTTTATTGTCGTATAGCAACTCATCCAGATTTAGTTTCATTTCGTTTGAAGTGATTTAATTTCTAGCCAGATTTTGATCAAATTCAATATACACAGTTATAAAGTTAGAAAATACCTAGAATGAGTTTGTATTTCAGGGTTCAAAGGTCAAGGAAAAGGTCATTGTTACCATTTATAGAAAATTGTCAATTATTAATTTTAACAATTTTTATTCATATCTTGTAGCATTCCTATGCTTACGAGATGTCTAATCGGTATGGCGTGTGAATGGACTGGCTTGCAGTCAGACATGTCTACTAGCATACAGTTTTGCGTGACAATTGGCATGCTGTTAAGCTTTTGGAATGCTGTGGCATGAAATGTGTTCAGTATTTAATTCAAGAAATGTATTTTCATGGTACTATTCAAATCAATTCAATCTGAATTTTGGGTGGTTGGGGGGCGCAGCGGATAATTAAGACAAGCGCTCTTCATCCAAATGGCCGTGGTTCAACTCCCCGATTAAAGGTTTAAAGGCTGTAGGGAAATGTGATGTGTGTATAACACCGCGCAGAGACGTCACATTGTTGTTGATATCTCTCCCCAAAATTCACTACAAGGTCATCTTGGATCAATTCGGTTTCCTCCCACATTAACTAAATCATTCACCCCTGAAATTTCATATTGGACTATTCCAACCTTTGAAATGAAAGAGTTCAAATGTGTCTTCAGGATTGAATGAGTTAAGACCCTCTGCACGCATCCATCTGGGTTATGTAAAGATGATGAAACATTCATAACACTAGTTGATTTGAAAACAGACTCTCTGTGAGCAGATATAAAAGCATGGCTGATCAATGTTGAGTTGATATTAACAACACATACATAGTTTGCACTTTTGTGTAGAGTCAAATCGATTTGTTGGTTTTGAAAACCATGCTATAAAAATTCTTAAATGTTCTGCATTGTAATTTGTAACAAAATATTGTTTATAACAGAAATTTTAGATCATTTTTCAAAATAAATATATCCTTAAAAGTTAAGTTTGTTTTGAACTCAAACAGGGAAACCTATTTTACGAGCTTTTGATAACGTCTGTTTACTTATGTCAAGCAAAGAGTGTAAATGACCAGTATCTCAACTCGAAACTGCTGGAAAAAACCAAGCCACAGTGGGGCGAATTGGTAAAATCAGCTGTCAAAAACCATAGAAACTTTTCGCCCAATTGCTCTCTTATACTGCAGGCAGTCAGGGGATGGATGGGTAACATGTTAACCCATTTCGCCCCTGTAGTGAATGTTAACTCATTCACTCCTAAAGTCACATAAGAGCCTTATCAAATTAAAGACTGGGCAAGTCCAGTTTGAATATGTAGGTGATTTTGGGGTGAATGTGTATAAATGGGGTCATAACAATGACTGCTGCTGGTGGCCCTCTTTGTCTCTGTTCATTGAATTCCCTTCCCTCCTTAACATTTTACCAATGTTTAATCCAGGAGTTATAAATGTACAGCACAAAAGTTTGTGTTCAATGTATTGGCCCCAAGTGTAATAGACTAAACTTGGTAGGGGAAGAAACTCCTATTTTAGGGGAAGTAATCCCTTTTGGTAGGGAAATTTACTCCTCTAGTAGGGGAAGCAACTCCTCTGGAAGGGGAAAGTAACTCCTCTGGTAAGGGAAGTAACTCCTCTGGTAGGGGAAGTAACTCCTCCGGTAGGGGAAGTAACTCCTCTGGTAGGGGAAGTTACTCCTCTGGAAGGGGAAAGTAACTCCTCTGGTAGGGGAAGTAACTCCTCTGGAAGGGGAAAGTAATTCCTCTGGTAGGGGAAGCAACTCCTCTGGTAGGGGAAGTTAATTATCTGGTAGAGTGAATCAGTAAAATCAGTTACTCATGTGGTAGGGGAAGTAACTCCTGGTGTATGGGAAGTAACTTCTGTTGTAGGGGAAGTAATCCCTTTTGGTAGGGAAATTTACTCCTCTAGTAGGGGAAGCAACTCCTCTGGTTGGGGAAGTTAATTATCTGGTAGGGTGAATCAGTAAAATCAGTAACTCCTGTGGTAGGGGAAGTAACTCCTGTTGTAGGGGAAGTAACTTCTGTTGTAGAGGAAGTAACTCTTCGGTATGGGAAGTAACTCCTTTTTGTAGGGGAAGTAACACCTTTTGTAGGAAAATTACTCCTGTGGTAGGGGAAGTAACTCCTTTTGGTGGCTTCATCTTCTATAAAGAAAGGAGAATACTGCAAGTAAAAAAAACCCCTCTTGAGTGGAACACTTCTTCCTGTTTAAACTGATGCAGTGGCACCCTTGACCTTGAAGTGTTGTCTGCTGGAAATGCCATAACCCTTGCACACTTTGTATAAATCGGTCCTGTCCTCTCATTTAAGATACAGAAGACCTTGTGTTTTATTATTCCCTGATGTTGTTGTGTTTTAGATTACTTTATTGTCTAGATTTCTGTCGTCTACATGAAGTACTTGTAGATAACTCTAAAAATAGGATAATTTATTTGTCTACTCTATTTTCTTTAGCCAAAATATTAAATATATATGTATATATATGTTTATGATAAACATACATGCACGTATACACTAACTTATGATTCTCATTATCAAATTGAACTAAAAATACAGTATTCTCAAAATGTATGGTATATAACTTCTGTTTTTTGTATTTTCTGGAGAGAAAAAAATCTAAAAAAAGTTATTTTATTTTATTTTGTAATTTTTTTAAATATGAGAATTTAATAAAAAAAAAGTTGCTGAATTTGGAATTCAATTTTTGTCCCCAGTTGAAGACTTTATAGAACCAAAAAGTAAGACTACCTTAAAGTGCTTGTTTTATTTTTATTTATTCCATGTTTTTTGTTGTTGTTTTTTTTTTTAATTTTGTTATTATTTCAGTTGAGGATCATTATTTATTTCACATTCACAGTTGCTTTAAACTACAGTAATATTTTAATCATTTTTTTTTTTAAATGATAGTTTTCTAATTGCACAGTGTAAATAGCTGGAACAAGAATATATTTAAATCATTGATATTTTTGAAACCAAGAAAAAAAATGTTACTTTTCTTTGTAGATATTTAATATAAAACAAAATCAGTTTCTTCTGACTGTATATATATAGTTACTATGATTTGTTTTGAACAAATCTGACATTTTAAAATAAATAATATATCAAATTGCCAGAGAGCTCCAAGATATGGTTTGTCCTGTATTGAGAGGGTAATTTATGTCACTCTCAAAAACCTTTACTGTGATATGATAATTACCCATTTATTGTTCCAAAATTGTTAATGATGATAATATAAGGCACAAATGTATGCATGTTCCAAAGTAGAACAAAAAAGCAGTTTTATGCTTTTTTGAACAAGAAGTATCGTAAAAAATTCTTGATGTTGTTATTGTATTAATTGTTTCATGATAATTATTTGTTTAATGGAATTTCTTAAAAATTTTCACTGAAAAATCATAAATCCCTATAATTAGATTTTCACTGAAAAATCATCAATCCCTATAATTAGATTTTCACTGAAAAATTATCAATCCCTATAATTAGATTTTCACTGAAAAATCATCAATCCCTATAATTAGATTTTCACTGAAAAATCATAAATCCCTATAATTAGATTTTCACTGAAAAATCATCAATCCCTATAATTAGATAATTAAGGGACTAGGTATGTTATGCATCTTTTTAGCCTTTTATTTAATAAATATTCATAACTTTTAATAAATTAAAAAAAAAAATTGTTTTTAAAATTTTGAACACTTACCAAGCATGAAAATACTCATTTGTGTGGTCAGTTTTAATAGTCATGGTAACCAATTCAATTTTGCGTAATTTAGTAAATGTTGAACGCAAGTTTTTCCACAGCTTTTTTCTCAGAAACCATAGTGTATATACTTGAGCTAACTATGTATTTTTTCTGAAAATATATAACCATTGTTGACATATTCTCAAGGGAAAATCTGTACAATATTTTTCCTAATATATGCAAATTTCAATTTGTTACCAATATCAACCATGATTAAAACACAAAGTATTCAAATTTAAGGAAACAGTGTTTTGAATGCATTATCAAAAGTTTTTGAATTTCGATGACTTTGTGGGCCAAAAAGATGTCAAAACCACACAGAGTCCTTTTAATACATACTCCAGCCTCACTGTTCTATCAACCACTTATTGCATTGGTAAAATCATTCAACCAATGTTTTGAGGACAAATTGGTAATTGTCGATCAAATATACTGTTGTGGAAAAAACTATCCATCTATATAAACATACATGCCAACTTTTTGAAATTTCCATGGGGAGATTAGCCATTCTCAAAATAAAAACAAATGAAGTGTGTGTATATACCCCGAAGAGACAAAATAACCCTGTACAATTACATATTTTTAGTTGTTCTTTCAGATGAATTGATTAAATCCTAGAATAAAGGAAAAGTTTAGCAAATTCACTGGTTAAAAACAATAAATAAAAGGCTCCGAAATTGGGATTCTCCCTCCTAAATAGGAAGAGTTGGCAAGGATGTCTCACAGTCCCGCTACTGTTGCTGGACATCAAGGTTAATGGGTTACCAGGACTTCATTAGATCCTGCATGTTGATGTATTCCGTCTTTGCGTATTGCAGAGTTATCTTCTCTTGGGAGCAGGTATTGATTGTTACGTCACATGTTTGTGAGAGTAATGTCATCAATTTTTGAGAAAATGACGTAATTTTCTCGCACAAACCTATGACGTAACAATCAATACCTGCCCCCAAGAGAAGATAACTCTGCAATACGCAAAGACGGAATTTGTGTACATTACACTTTTTATAGGAATGTGTCCACCTCATATTGCCACTGCAATCCATACATGTGATTTCTTTTGGAGTGTTTGCACATTATGCTAGATGTTGTACAGTAGGGAGATACATAGGGTTTAATACAGGATTGTGTGTTTTATAGTATTGGTGTATTTAGGTACAGGAGTGTCGGTCACACATATGTAAAAGTACTAATTTAGGTGATTTTAATGTTATGCTGGGTAATTACATGTGCATAATGATATCAAAATCTATCATAACGCCCCCTCCCCACAACAAGGTTTGGAGGTTATTTGAAATCAGATTTTTTGTAACTTGACACTGTGAAACTACATTGCATGTAGATGTGCACAGGAAAGGAAATTTGTGATACCACTATTTTTCTAGAGCCCCTTAAAATTTGAATTTCCTGCTCAACAGACATTGTAAGTGCAACACCTCCTTGTTGGTTTGTTGGACTGGACATTTTATGTTATCACGTGAGCAGGCGGATGCGAACGGTGTCGGATCGATATCTTGAGTACTTTTCAACAGAAAAACTTCAAACTTCATAGGCAGGTTCATTATCATAATAGCTCGGACCGGATCGATTACTGTAAATATCGGACAGTAATTTATGGAGTTATGTCTCTTTATTCAATTGCCAAAAGATTTTTAACGGATTAACTTTAAACTTCATAGGAAGGTTCATTGCCATGATAGCTCGGTTTGATAACCACCATTGTTCAACTGTTATGTATGGAGTTATGGCCCTTTATGTAAAACCATACAGACAACTGCTCATTGCATGTATGACGGGCGTATTATGCTTTCGGGGTACCCTTGTTGTTACTTGGCACAGTGAAAGTAAATCACATGTATATGTGCACGAAGAAAGAAATTTGTGATTCAATTATTTTTCTTTGAGTTATGGCCCTTGAAACATTAATTTCTGCTCCACAAACTTTTAAGCGCAAGCAGGTGGTGTATCTTTGAGCTTGTTCACAGTTTCTTTGGTTTGTACTGAAACAAGAGTATCCATGCCCTAGATAACCATGTTTGTTGATGGTCCGTTTAACCCTTTCAACCCTATTTAACTTCAGTAAACTCTTCCATGCTTTGATCTGGTTGAGTCCATGATGGTTTACAATGGTGAAAGGGTTAACAAAACAAAAAACAAACTCATTCTGAACTATATATGGTACATTCTCTTAGCAATATCATTAACTATTAAATTTCAATTCAAAACAAGAAGTACATAAACTCTAACAAATCTATCGTGTTATGTTATCACAAAGAATTAATATATCGTATTATGTTATCACAAAGAATAAATATATCGTATTATGTTATCACAAAGAATAAATATATCGTTTATGTTATCACAAAGAATAAATCTATCGTATTATGTGACCACAAAGAATAAATCTATCATATTATGTGACCACAAAGAATAAATCTATCGTAATATGTTACCACAAAGAATAAATCTATCGTATTACGTTATCACAAAGAATAAATCTATCGTGTTATGTTATCACAAAGAATAAATCTATCGTATTACGTTACCACAAAGAATAAATCTATCGTATTACGTTACCACAAAGAATAAATCTATCATATTATGTTACCACAAAGAATAAATCAATCGTAATACGTTATCACAAAGAATAAATCTATCGTATTATGTTATCACAAAGAATAAATCTATCGTATTATGTGACCACAAAGAATAAATGTATCGTAATATGTTACCACAAAGAATAAATCTATCGTATTATGTGACTGCAAAGAATAAATGTATCGTAATACGTTACCACAAAGAATAAATCTATCGTATTATATTATCACAAAGAAAAAATCTATCGTGTTACGTTACCACAAAGAATAAATCTATCGTGTTACCTTATCACAAAGAATAAATCTATCGTATTACATTACCACAAAGAATAAATGTATCGTATTACGTTACCAAAAAGAATAAATCTATCGTATTACGTTACCACAAAGAATAAATGTATCGTATTACGTTACCAAAAAGAATAAATCTATCGTATTACGTTACCACAAAGAATAAATGTGTCGTATTACGTTACCACAAAGAATAAATCTATCGTATTATGTTACCACAAAGAATAAATCTATCGTATTACGTTACCACAAAGAATAAATGTATCGTATTACGTTACCACAAAGAATAAATCTATCGTGTTACGTTATCACAAAGAATAAATCTATCGTATTATATTATCACAAAGAATAAATGTATCGTATTACGTTACCACAAAGAATAAATCTATCGTATTACGTTACCACAAAGAATAAATCTATCGTATTATGTTACCACAAAGAATAAATCTATCGTATTACGTTACCACAAAGAATAAATGTATCGTATTACGTTACCACAAAGAATAAATCTATCGTGTTACCTTATCACAAAGAATAAATCTATCGTATTACATTACCACAAAGAATAAATGTATCGTATTACGTTACCACAAAGAATAAATCAATCGTAATACGTTACCACAAAGAATAAATCTATCGTATTATGTTATCACAAAGAATAGACAAGGAATCAACATCTCGATTTTCATGTTTTACTAGCTACAGAACAATAGCCTGCTATTCCCCAGGACTACGACTGTGACTTCATCATGTGATAACAGTCTTAGGGGTACATGCTTTTATAGAATGAAATAGAAATTTTATATGATAGAATGGACAAAGTGTTGGATTTTGATGCGATGCTGTATAAAGTATTAAACTGTATCCAGTTATATCTTCAAATTATTGGTTATCACTTGATAATTTAATCTTGCTTGTAACAAGCATTTTCATTGGCTTAAAAATTTATGTTATCAGCCCATAACGTAAAAAAATGATGTCGCCGTTTGTAACGTCGCTTTTTATTGGCTGATACAGCAGCGCAATAATTTCTAAGAGAAAAGAGTCCATCAATAAAAGTGTATTTCCACAGGGATTGTGTATAGTAGATTAAATTATAAGGATAAACTTGAATATATTTCGCGGTTTATTTAGAGTACACTCCGTTTTTGTGTGTTATATCTCCATAACATGAAAAATATATTCAAGTTAATCCTTAAGTATCCATACACCCACAGCCTCCTCCCCATGAGATATTTACCGAATTAAAGGATTTTATGAAGAATTAAGTGTAGAAGAAGAGTTTTGTGGACTAGTTTCTGGTTGTATTGTTGTTTGGTGACCCAGTCGTACTGTAGTGTGCACGTTTTGTTGTTACAGCTTTGATAGAACGCCACTATCTGACTGTCCACCTTCCTTTAGCCAGTGACCACCATCGACGATCATGGTCAAGTATATTTTGCCTCGGAACTGAAGGCCTTAAAGGTAATCCTGACTTATCTCCCCTTGTCCCCTGTGTTGTCTGCCTTTGTCGTATATTAGTGCAAGTAGATAATTGTTGTAATTCTTTTAGTCCGTATAGTTATCCTTTTGTCGGTTTGGAATCTTTTGCAATTCAGCTTGTTGGTTTTTGAGGAAAAAACAGCAGTTCATACGTTTTTTGCAGTATGTTCTACACTTTAGAAGCCAACAATATTAACTTAAATTTAAATATAAAAAAAATATCAAAAAAGTGATATAAGTATGTTTGTCATACAATAGAAAGATTCCTTTTATAAATATAAAATGGAATTTCATTTCCGAAGTAGTTTTGAAGTTTGTTTGAAATACAATAAATGTAAAAAACAAAATTTGATTTTTGTTGAATTTGGAGATATCTGACGAGATATTTGATGTGTTGTATTAGGCAATCAACAGAGTATATATATATATATATACTGAAGAGGTTTAGTTTCTAAAAAAAGCACAGATTTGTTTTGAAACTAAAAACTGAATAACAAAAGATTGCATACCTAACTTAGTTTAGTAGTGTAGAAAATGCTTGTAGAATATTGTACATTTCTTTCGCCAGCTGAAGGGTTTAAAAGAGTTATCTGCCCTTTGATTTGTTTTACTTCAAGCTTTAACTAGGTGTCTTTTCTAATCCTGTTTTTGAAGAACTAGAAGTTGCTTTTATTTTCAGTCTTTAAACCTCCTTCTACCGCTGTTGACCATAATAGACTCATTCACATCAAAGTAATGTATAGTCTACTAACCTACACAGGTGTAAAAGGGTTAAACTTGTAAGCAATGGTTTCCTTAGTAACATATAACCTGGGTAACCATTATTTGTGGGGGAAAAAGCATCATGACTGCATTTCCGTATGATTTAATAGAACAATGCAGGAACAGAGCAGGTTATTAAGTGTAAACTTGTCCATATTCACTCATCCTCTATTGAAAAATTAGAAGTTTTTGTATTTCTTTGACCTTGACATCATCTACAATACTCCAGGGGTTATATGCTTACTAACATTCTCTGCACCTCTGGAATATGGCATGACAATATCCTTATGGATGACGCCAGTAGAATTGTTTGATCCTTTGATGTACATCAACAGAATCGTGCGACAGTATAGCGGTAAAACTTCCTGGCTTAGAAGTCAAGTGTCGCTCCTCTGTAATCTTCAAAGGACAGGTGTGATCCTAGCGATTGGTCAGGTTCGCTTACCTGAAACCAATCAAATAGCTAACACCATGGCACATCACTTTGATTCTGTCATGACATATTCCATAGGCAGAGAACAGAAGTAAATGTAATCCTTGAAATTGATGAAGAATGCTATCAAATGTTGTATTGGGCTTTCCTTCAAGGAATTAATTAGTCTAGACGTAGGAGTAATCAAAATCAAAAGAAGAGATGACCAGACACCATACATCAAATGGGAAGTATCAGTACCTTTAATCAAGTTAAATTTAATTCAGATGTTGTCTTGTCTTCTTTTTTGAATTTTATAAAGACATGAAACTTTGATAAAAACTAAGTTTGTTTTGAACACAAACATGAATTGAAAACTTGTTTTTCGAGCTTTCAAAAACGTCTGTTTTCTTCATCGATCAAAGAGTACGAGCTTTTAAAACCGTCTGTACCCTTCAAGCAAAGAGTGCAATTCTTAAGACAAAGGAAGTAGACGTTTTTGAAAGCTTGCAAAACAAGTTTTCATTTACTGTTTGTGTTCAAAACAACTTAGTCTTTATAATTCATATCAAACTGATGAATCCTATTCTGAATACATGAAACTTGGGCACGTGTGAAAATCTTATGGTGCAATAACATTATACAATGCATGTGATAAGTGTATACAGCTGATATTTTCACTTACAAACATGCTGAGGCGTTGTACAGTGCTTCTACTTAAACATGCTGAGGCGTTGTACAGTGTTTTTACTTAAACATGCTTAAACGTCATAATTTTATTAATGTGTTTAAATGCACTATATTTATTCATTTTTGAAATATTTGCAAAAACACTTGTGAGTAATTTGTTTATAATGTATGTTTTACTTCAGATGTCCACTGTTGTGTTCATGCTCCATACAGTACAGCTCTAACCCCTTGGCTTTTGATTGTTTTTACATTAGAATTTCCCGTATTTTTCCACCATTAGAGTCATCATACAGGCATAGTGCTTTCCGTGTTTGAAAAATTATCATTATTTAAAGAGGTTAATAATAATTCAACTATCATATTTTTTTGATGTTTGTGATGAAATTGACAAATTAAATACAAAAGTAATTAAAGTCTTACAGTACAAGTGTATTAAGTCTTGAAACTTAAAAAACCCATATTGTTCAAATTTGTATATTTTATTTAAAAGAGTGAAAAATGACAATGCAAAAAATCAAAACTGTATATATATATGTCATACCTATCAAATTTTCTGTTGAGCTTCCATAAATAATTACAATTTTACTCTCTTGACTTTCAAAATAGTTATCAAATTTGCTGTTGAGCTTCCATAAATAATTACAATTTTACTCTCCTGACTTCCAAAATAGTTATCAAATTTGCTGTTGAGCTTCCATAAATAATTACAATTTTACTCTCTTGACTTTCAAAATAGTTATTAAATTTACTGTCTGGGCTTCTATAAATAGTTAAATTTTACTTTTCTGATTTCCAGAATATAGTTATCAAATACTGTCTGGGTTTCCATTAGAGTTATTTTAGTGTCAGGGCCTCTGCTCAAAAATCGGTCAAAGGTTCAGTTCATTTTACTTGATTCGGTGATTGATTTTTTTCCCATTATTTCTATTTTTTTATTTATTCATTGATCGCTATATTGATATATATTTTTAATCTCATTATTATCTGGACTTTTTGTTGTCAAAAACATAATGATAAAACAGTATAGTTATGTATACAAGGGCAACCATTCAAAACTTATCATGATAGATCAGCTTTTGTGTGCTTGAAGTTGGTCCTAAGAGGCATTAGATTCGGTAAGATAAATAAAAATAAAATGTACAACATTTGACATAGCGCCCTATCTAGCTAGCATAAGCCACTCTAAAGCTCTTTACAGTACATAGATATACAATTTAATACAATGAATACAATTAGCATATACATTAATCAATACAATTTTGAGGAATTCGCAGTAGCTGTCTTATTAGGCGCTAACTACTAGTCCTACGCCACCTGGCTAATATCTCCCTATGTATGAATGCCTACGTGTGTGCTGGAGATATATTGTGTTCTGTTTGTAGTGGGACCGTACTTCCAACGGTATCATTAATAGTGCCACCTCACTTGAATGCCACAGCACAGATACCGCAACATCCAACCCAGTATAATATTTCCCTTTGTTTGACCCTTGAAAACATGATATGTTTATTAGTGTCAGATTGTGTCTTACAGCAGGTGTCTTATTAAGGATCCCCGTACCACTACCTAAAACTGTAACGAAATGTTGGAAAGTGTCTTTTCCGGCATTACTATACATTACATAAATGTTTTCTAGAAAGAAAACAACCATACTTTGTGAATAACAAAATGACAAGAGGAGAGTTCAATGTGAATAACAAAATGACAAGAGGAGAGTTCAATGTCAGTCCTATGTTAAATGTCTGCTTTTAAAAGGATAATTTTCTGTTGCAAACGTACCAGTACTATTATTATAATTAAAAAGTGAGATTGTTGATTTTTAGCTCACCTGGTCCGAAGGACCATGGTGAGCTTATGCCATACCGCAGCGTCCGTCGTCCGTCCATCAACTTTTCCTTTAAAACGCTACTTGTCCTGAACGGCCAAGCAGATTTTGACCAAATTTGGTCTGGAGCATCCTTAGGCCAAGGGACTCAATTTTGTATAAATGGTGGGTGTGCCCCCCCCCCCCCCCCGGGGGGCAGAGGGGCGGGGCCCAATAGGGGAAATAGAGGTAACACGGTGGGTGTGCCCCCCCCGGGGGGCAGAGGGGCGGGGCCCAATAGGGGAAATAGAGGTAACACATTTAAAATCCTAGGGATTAAGGGATTTTATCCTAATTTAGTCTGGAGCATCCTTGGGCCAAGGGGACTCAAAATTGTGGGTCTGGTCCCCCAGGGGACTGAGGGGCGGGACCCAATAGGGGGAATATAGCAAATTCTTTAAAATCCTTCTTCTGTAGGAATGAAAGGATTTGTTCCATATTTGGTCAGAAGCATCTTTGGGAGAAAGGGAACAAATTTTGTATAAATGTTGGGTCTGGCCCTCCTTGGGGTCGAGGGGTGGGGCCCAATAGGGGAAATATAGCAAATTCTTTAAAATCCTTCTTCTTCTGAAGGAATGAAAAGATTTGTTCCATATTTGGTCTGAAGCATCCTTGGGTGAAGGGGAACCAATTTTGTATAAACCGTGGGTCTGGCCTGCCAGGGGCCTGAGAGGCGGGGCTCAATAGGGGAAACATAGCAAATTATACTTTAAAATCCTTCTTCTTCTGTAGGAATGAAAGGATTTGGTCTATATTTGGTGTGAAGCATCCTTGGGTAAAGGGGAATACATTTTGTATAAACGGTGGGTCTGGCCCTCCTGGGGGCTGAGGGGCTGGGCCCAATAAGGCAAATATAGCAAATTCTTTAAAATCCTTCTTCTTCTGTAGGAATGTAAGGATTTGGTCTATATTTGGTGTGAAGCATCCTTGGGTAAAGGGGAATACATTTTGTATAAACGGTGGGTCTGCCCTCCTGGGGGCTGAGAGGCTGGGCCCAATAAGGCAAATATAGCAAATTCTTTAAAATCCTTCTTCTTCTGTAGGAATGAAAGGATTTGTTCCATATTTGGTATGAAGCATCCTTGGGTGAAGGGGAACCAATTTTGTATAAACCATGGGTCTGGCCATCCAGGGGCCTGAGGGGTAACCCCAATAGGGGAAACATAGCAAAATATTCTTTAAAATCCTTCTTCTTCTGTAGGAATGAAAGGATTTGGTCCATATTTGGTGTGGAGCATCCTTGGTTAAAGGGGAACCAATTTTGTATAAACAGTGGGTGTGACCCCCCTAGGACCTGAGGAGCGGGGCACAATAGGGGAAATAGAAGTAAAACCTTTATAATCCTTCTACCATAGGGATTAAGGGATTTTATCCTAATTTAGTCTAGAGCATCCTTGGGCAAAAGGGACTCAATTTCGTATAAACAGTGAGTGTGGCCCCCCTGGGGGCTGAAAGGAGGGGCTAAATAGGTGAAACATAGCAAATTCTTGAAATACCTTCTTCTGTACGAATGACAGGATTTTGTCCAAATTTGGTATTAAGCATCCTTGGGTGAAGGGTAACCAATTTTGTATAAACAGACTGTCTAACACCCCTGGAGGCAGAGAGGCGGGGCCCAATAGGGGAAATAGAGGTAAAACCTTTAAAATCCTTCTTCTATCATAGGGATAAAGGGATTTTATCCTAATTTAGTCTGGAGCATCCTTGGGCCATGGTGACTCAATTTTGTATAATTGGTGGATATGACCCCCCTAGGGGCATAGGGGTGGGGCTCTGTTTGAAGTTTGTTCTCGCTATATCTCAAGTACTGGATAGATCTTTCTGAAATTTTATATGTACTTACAGCACCTACCATGGAGTGCTATACCTTTATTTCATACAAATTATTATTTTAAACATATTCAGGTGAGCGATACAGGCCCTCTGGGCCTCTTGTTATATACTTGGTATGTATAAGACTATAATTCCCAATGAGAATAGTTGCAACTTTCTCCTCCTTAAACTGATGACCACTTTTCTTTTTTTTTTTTTTTTTTTTTTTTTTTAAATAGAGAAACTTGATTGGGGATTTACTCATCTTCGATACTTAAGGGTAAAACATGCTCACTTACCTCATTAATATGTCACCAGCCTGCCACATTTCTCTTTGATGTTGCAAATGGTCGATTTTTGGTACCGTATCAACACAGTACTGATGGGATTCAAAGTTCCTGTCCTTGAAGCACTGGGAAGTGTTCCGACACATCTTGCTGGTTAGCTTAACATTTATTGCGCGATGTACAACAATGTAAAGATTTTTTTTGATGCCTACGAACTTGAATAAAGCGTGATGGGTTTATTAGGCCATAATAAATTATTTGCTAGATTCTCATCCCCGCCCGCCCCCTCTTTGAGGCCCCGCCCCAATTTTTTTTATTTGCGAAAAAAAAAACGAAAATACAAAATCCGGATTTTTTTCCCGTTTTCCGCTTCAAAAATTAGTTTTATATTATCAATTTCCGGTTGTAGAAAACTCGTCGTCTGCAAGTATGGTTTTTGTAATTCTAAAGCTGAAACGGCAACTTGCCGTTCTTAAAGATTGGTATGGGTGTTCAGTAGCCGATACTAAAACATTAATGCAAGTCTTTCATGAATTAGCCGAAGGAACAATTGACAAATCTGCGCCCGTCGAGTGTGGTAACAGGGCCGTTGTGTCGGCCGGTAAATCGAAAGTGGAACTGACCCAGTGTGATGGCGCATGTACGGTGGGGGAAGTGGTGTCGTACCTCGGAGCTTATTTAGAATTTAATATTGATGCTGATACAGAAGAGCAGTCGGCAACTGCCATTGCGAAATCCGACGCATTTACAATTTTAATGTCGGGATTTTCGAAAGCAACAATGACAAGGTCACTGTAATTAAAAGAGGACGATATGTGAAAAAGTAATGTGGTGTGTATTCATACCAAAAGTTAGTACAGATATATATGTGGACTGAACAGTGAAATGGTGTTCAATGTGTATACTGCATACTCAAAGTTGTTATTAACAAAAAATAAAGATAAATGTACACTGAACATGCGCCTTTATTGCACTATTCTAACACATTTGCAACCATTTCAAATTTTAGGAAAAATAAAAAATAAAAAATAAAATTCGCCCCCCCGCCCCAATTTTGAAAAGAATTTGGATGAGAATCTAGCAATTAATTTATTATGGCCTTAATGGGCACCCGCCCTCTGCACGGAAAGTAAGGAAAAGTGGGGGATGGGCTTATTACCAGGCATAGGTTTATTATCAGTAAAATATGGTATGCTCTCTGCACTCATGGAATATGTAATGAAAAAATTGAAGGCTCTATACCTGCCACAGTTTGGATGATACGAGAAGACTAGTTTGATCCTTTGATGTACATCAAAAGAACTGCATGACAGCATAACAATACAGTTTACTGGACAATTATCAGGCTAGCGATTGGTCAGTCGGTTTTAAATGATACTAATTAAATAGCTGTCTTCCTGCCTTCAGTCAGGGATGCAAAGAGCGTAAGTGAACAATCGCCCTGGAATATCGAGGATGAGTTTTCCCAGACTATCAATGAAATAATCAGTCATGCGTCATAACTAATTATTAGTTATAATTGGCTAAACAGTAGCTGAAACAATTTATATAGCTATTAATATATAATCTTTTGATAAATCTTTTAGACTGGTTGTCTACTAGTATGCACGGTATACCAATTAAAAAAAACTAATTTTTCGATAAAGCAGATTTCCGTAAAAGTGACTTTTTTATTCAGGATACTTTTTTAAAATGCTTTCATCTTGAATATTCATTATATTCACAATTCTCTTTTTGAATATCCATTATTATACCAATGTTGATTTTTAAACAAATATTTATCAGTAGATGGTAAAAAAGAATTTTGCAATGTATTTTTTTGCTTTTGATCAGAAATTTAAACTGTACATAAGTCACACTATATGTTTGTATCAAGTTGAAATTTCATTCATATTTTTTTTTTTTTTTTTAAATTTTATTCTTTAATTGAAGAATGTGTGTGTGTGTGTTTATATCACGTTTGTATCAGTTTGATGATTGATGTGCTGTCCTATGTTCTGTTGACTGTAGGTTTAGACGAAAACGTGATCCCAGTAATGGCGCGAGCAAAGTCTGCCTCGGTCCTAGGAACAGCGGGTATGAATACAGGGACAGATAATGGCACAAATCTGAACCCTTGATTGTGACCAGGCACGACACGTCAATGTTGTTTGTAAATCAAATGGGACCAGACTAGCGCCAATATCTTGACCCTTCTGGTCAAACAACACACAGGGATCTATGGGTTGGGTACATTGTTAATTGTTGATCATATTGAGTTCGTTTTATTCGTTAGTTATTTGTTTTAATATGTTTTGCAGGCTTTTCTTGGACAAAATAATGTTATTTTGGATCAAAGGTGATAAGACTGACACACGATTTTCAGAGGTTAATAAAATATACGTAAAGTCTCCAAAATCAAAGGCCTGATTTTTGTACAGGGGAATGAAAGCCAGAATATTGAAGGTGAGATGTCAGTCTCAGTTGCAGGGGAAGTTTTTATTATTTGTAGAAAGCTGTTTTACCAGTTACATCCATCCTGCTCTACTCACTGCCTCCTACTCAGCTTCCCACTTTCCTACGATTAATTTACACTACCTCTAATTCGTCACTCCTTCCCTCACACACCCTTGTCTCCTTACTCTTTCCCCTTTCCCTTCTATTACTCCCATCCTCTCTTTCTTCTCCCACCTACTATTCACACTTCCCGACTTCCCCACACTTTTCCCTTTCACAAATTTTCACTTCTCGCCACCATTCCCGTTTTCCTTCAACTCCCGACTTCTTGCCACTCCCCCACTTACTCACATCTTCCCCAATACCCGATTTGTCACTTCTCTCCACCACTTCCCCACCTTCCCCAATACCCGATTTGTCACTTCTCTCCACCACTTCCCCACCTTCCCCAATACCCGATTTGTCACTTCTCTCCACCACTTCCCCACCTTCCCCAATACCCGATTTGTCACTTCTCTCCGCCACTTCCCCAACCTTCCCCAATACCACATTTGTCACTTATCTCCACCACTTCCCTCTCAACCCCCCACCTTCCATCTCTGCGTTTTCCTTTTTTGCCTCTATTCCCGACTTCTTCCACTACCATACCCTTATTATACACTTCTTTCTTCTACCCACCAATTTCATTTTCCTCTCTCCCATCTTATCTATCTTTCCCTCCATTTCCTATTTTTCAAACTCCAATCCCTTTTCTGTATTCCCTCCTTCCTTGTTTTAATACTTTGATATTCATTGCTTTTCTCAGTTCCTAACAAAGATTTAAGAACCCTAATTTGACTATACCTCTCAATAAATGTTCGTCCGTCTGTAAGTCTATGACCGTTTTAAGTGCAACTCCTCCTAAAACATATGTTATTTTTTTTGTAACTTGACACAGTGAAAGTACATGATTTAGACGTGCAGGAAAAAAGGAATTTGCGATTCAATATTTTTTTTTATGGAGTTTTGGTCCTTGAAGCTATAAATTTTAATTACATTGTATGTTGATGTAAATGAAGAAAAGAATTTGTTAATTGAATTTTGTTCCTGGAGTTATGGCCCTTGAAACTACCAATTCTTCTCCAGAACCTTGTAAGTGAAACGCCTCATTTACTGTTAGTTGGATTTTTCTGTAACTTGGTGCATTGAAATTAAATCATTTACAGATGTGCATGAAGAAAGGAATTTGTAATTTGATTTTTCCCCTGGAATTCTTCTTTAAATTTCTCTTCCAGATATCTTTTAACGAGTTTCTCTTCCAAATATCTTTTTAAGAGTTTCTCTTCCAGATATCTTTTTACGAGTTTTTACACAGTTTCTCTAGTTTTGCAATTGCTGTAGGTCTCCCTGAACTGATAGACTGAGACAGATGTCACTGATCTCTGTTGGTTAAAGGTCATACTCTGTCACTGATCTCTGCTGGTTAAAGGTCATACTCTGTCACTGATCTCTGTATGTTAAAGGTCATACTCTGTCACTGATCTCTGTTGGTTAAAGGTAATACTCTGTCACTGATCTCTGTAGGTTAAAGGTCATCCTCTGTCACTGATCTCTGTTGGTTAAAGGTCATACTCTATCACTGATCTCTGTTGGTTAAAGGTCATACTCTGTCATTGATCTCTGTTGGTTAAAGGTCATACTCTGTCACGGATCTCTGTTGGTTAAAGGTCATACTCTGTCACGGATCTCTGTTGGTTAAAGGTCATACTCTGTCACTGATCTCTGCAGGTTAAAGGTCATACTCTGTCACTGATCTCTGTTGGTTAAACGTCATACTCTGTCACTGATCTCTGTTGGTTAAAGGTAATACTCTGTCACTGATCTCTGTAGGTTAAAGGTCATACTCTGTCACTGATATCTGTTGGTTAAAGGTAATACTCTGTCACTGATCTCTGTAGGTTAAAGGTCATCCTCTGTCACTGATCTCTGTAGGTTAAAGGTCATCCTCTGTCACTGATCTCTGTTGGTTAAAGGTCATCCTCTGTCACTGATCTCTGTTGGTTAAAGGTCATGCTCTGTCACTGATCTCTGTTGGTTAAAGGTCATTCTCTGTCACTGATCTCTGTAGGTTAAAGGTCATCCTCTGTCACTGATCTCTGTTGGTTAAAGGTCATTCTCTGTCACTGATCTCTGTAGGTTAAAGGTCATCCTCTGTCACTGATCTCTGTAGGTTAAAGGTCATCCTCTGTCACTGATCTCTGTAGGTTAAAGGTCATCCTCTGTCACTGATCTCTGTAGGTTAAAGGTCATACTCTGTCACTCATCTCTGTTGGTTAAAGGTCATACTCTGTCACTCATCTCTGTTGGTTAAAGGTCATACTCTGTCACTGACCTCTGTTGGTTAAAGGTCATACTCTGTCACTGACCTCTGTTGGTTAAAGGTCATACTCTGTCACTGATCTCTGCTGGTTAAAGGTCATACTCTGTCACTGATCTCTGCAGGTTAAAGGTCATACTCTGTCACTGATCTCTGTAGGTTAAAGGTCATACTCTGTCACTGATCTCTGTAGGTTAAAGGTCATCCTCTGTCACTGATCTCTGTAGGTTAAAGGTCATCCTCTGTCACTGATCTCTGTTGGTTAAAGGTCATTCTCTGTCACTGATCTCTGTAGGTTAAAGGTCATACTCTGTCACTGGTCTCTGTAGGTTAAAGGTCATACTCTGTCACTGATCTCTGCAGGTTAAAGGTCATACTCTGTCACTGATCTCTGCAGGTTAAAGGTCATACTCTGTCACTGATCTCTGCAGGTTAAAGGTCATACTCTGTCACTGATCTCTGCAGGTTAAAGGTCATACTCTGTCACTGATCTCTGCTGGTTAAAGGTCATACTCTGTCACTGATCTCTGTATGTTAAAGGTCATACTCTGTCACTGATCTCTGTTTGTTAAAGGTCATACTCTGTCACTGATCTCTGTTGGTTAAAGGGCATACTCTGTCACTGATCTCTGTTGGTTAAAGGCCATACTCTGTCACTGATCTCTGTTGGTTAAAGGTAATACTCTGTCACTGATCTCTGTAGGTTAAAGGTCATCCTCTGTCACTGATCTCTGTTGGTTAAAGGTCATACCCGTGACTGGTCTGTCACTGATCTCTGTTGGTTAAAGGTCATACCCTGTCACTGATCTCTGTAGGTTAAAGGTCATACTCTGTCACTGATATCTGTTGGTTAAAGGTCATCCTCTGTCACTGATCTCTGTTGGTTAAAGGTCATACACTGTCACTGATCTCTGTAGGTTAAAGGTCATACTCTGTCACTGATCTCTGCAGGTTAAAGGTCATACTCTGTCACTGATCTCTGTCGGTTAAAGGTCATACTCTGTCACTGATCTCTGTCGGTTAAAGGTCATACTCTGTCACTGATCTCTGTCGGTTAAAGGTCATACTCTGTCACTGATCTCTGTCGGTTAAAGGTCATACTCTGTCACTGATCTCTGTCGGTTAAAGGTCATACTCTGTCACTGATCTCTGTCGGTTAAAGGTCATACTCTGTCACTGATCTCTGTATGTTAAAGGTCATACTCTGTCACTGATCTCTGTATGTTAAAGGTCATACTCTGTCACTGATCTCTGTTTGTTAAAGGTCATACTCTGTCACTGATCTCTGTAGGTTAAAGGTCATACTCTGTCACTCATCTCTGTTGGTTAAAGGTCATACTCTGTCACTCATCTCTGTTGGTTAAAGGTCATACTCTGTCACTCATCTCTGTTGGTTAAAGGTCATACTCTGTCACTGGTCTCTGTAGGTTAAAGGTCATACTCTGTCACTGGTCTCTGTAGGTTAAAGGTCATACTCTGTCACTGATATCTGTTGGTTAAAGGTAATACTCTGTCACTGATCTCTGTAGGTTAAAGGTCATCCTCTGTCACTGATCTCTGTAGGTTAAAGGTCATCCTCTGTCACTGATCTCTGTTGGTTAAAGGTCATACTCTGTCACTGATCTCTGTTGGTTAAAGGTCATACCCTGTCACTGATCTCTGTTGGTTAAAGGTCATACCCGTGACTGGTCTGTCACTGATCTCTGTTGGTTAAAGGTCATACTCTGAACCTTAAGAGTCTTATATTTGTATTTCAAAGTTTGCTTTGGACGTCCATGCATAGTAAAAATTTGATGCCTTTTGTTTGCTGCCTCACTTACTTTCCTATCTTTCCCATTTCTTTTATAGTACAAACATTCTATTCGTTAGAGAGTGACACATGATAACAAGGTTTTTATGTGTCATTGTTTTTAATTAATAACACTAGTTTCAATAAGGAATTTATTTTTATAAAGGAAATTGACAAAGAATTTCCAATAATTCAAAGAAAAATATGAAATCTTAAAATTAAGTCAGTAATAGCTTAGTAGATTGTTTTTATACGAGACTGTGAAACTTACAACAAAGAAAATGATGTACAAGACTGTGAAACTTACAACAAAGAAAATGATGTACAAGGCTGTGAAACTTACAACAAAGAAAATGATGTACAAGAGAATAATGTTTCCATTGTTCCTGTACTTGTTTCTAGACTAACCATTTTTTTTAGAGTTATATTACAGGAAATTTAACGTAAGAATATATGTGCTATATAGTGTGACAACCATCTTCAACAAAAAATAGT